TCCGGAATACGAAGTGGATTGGATCCTAGACATCGGTCCTCCGCGGGATTGTTGAGCGATAAATTTTTTCAAGGATGGAAAACAGCCCGAGAAAGACGAATGAGTGAGGAGAATAAAAACTTCTTGCGGAATACATATGTATATGGAAACTTCTATCGTTAGACTGATCGAAACGCTTCGTCGTTTCTCCGAATGAGATTTCTGATGAGTATTAGAGTCTACACTGATGAGTATTCGCCATTCTGTAATTACATTTACAAAAATCGAAACTTGCACAATTGCGAACAAACGACGATACAGTTATTTAAAAAAAAAAAGAAAGGAGAAAGAAGAATCACTCGATTCTTCCTCGCGGCGGAAACGATCGGTTGAAAATGGAACGCAGGCGTGAAAGGGAATCACATTGCGTGAAGCCACTTATTGAAACATCGGGACTTCCGTCCGTGATTCCCTTTATATCGGAATCCAATCGAAAGGTTGGAAGCGAGCGTGGAACAAAAGAGTGCATCGAGTGCACCGGGAATGAAGCACTTGGCCGCGGCCGCCCTTGCCATAAAATCTTATCAGGGGGAAGCTTCCCGTTCTACATCTATGCGGCACGTATCGGCAGTTCCAGCAAAAACCAACGCCATTCTGTTCACCACCCGCGATATGCAACGTCGTAAGAAAACGAGGGCAAGAGAGAAAGAGAGAGAGAGAGACTGCTTCCGGTCACCATAAACCGAAAGGGTGGGCGTGATCGGAATACGACTATTTGCCTGGCAGACTAGATGAAACAAGAGGACGAACGAGATGATCGATTTTTATATAACACTGAACGTTGCCCGGAGTTCCCGTCGACGACGATACTCGGCAAGATTATCGACAACGAAGTTTTAATATCGCTTTATAAATCACGGATACGCCATATCGCCGGATGTCGCTTTATTCCTCTTCTGCAGAAGCGAACGTATTATATATGTATATACTGTGTGCAGTAGCTCCTACACGAACACGAGACATCGGTGTTCCTTTTAAAAGTTAAATCGCAATCTTCCCTTTCCGAATGGCGTTCATATTAAAGTAATCCATACCGTATGCTTTCTTTCAGATTTTTAGGAGATCCGCAAGAGAAACTGAAATATTCATACGGCAAAATATATTATATATATATATGTACGATGTTACCGAGATAGCTGCGATAAATCTCGTCGTTCGTGTTGGAGGGTAGATATTCAGCTATAATCGTTCGCGACCGCGTTCTTAGACCGCAGAACAGGTGTTGGCACGATTGCTCAAACAAGAAGCTGAGAACACTTGGGCTCTATTCAGGTCAGTCCTTGCCGTATCGAGCATTCAAAATATGCCGCAAAGTCGCTGCATTATTGCACATTTAGCAGAGTCGAAAGAGTCGCGAGAGTGTGGATTTTCCCACCCACTCCCCGAGAAAATCAGTGTCAAAACGAGGAATGCCATCGATCAAGTGTCACTTGATTATAACGAAAAGGTATCTTTCCTACGTTCGACGAACGAAAATGGGACACCGGGGGTGATTGCAGAAACTATATCCTTTCATCTTTTCAAAGAGTAGGACGCGACGAAAGAACGAACAACGTCGAAAATTAGACACTACTTAAACGGACGTTTAATTTATTCCCGTTTCTCGGAGTCGACCAGATCGGCGGTCTTTTTACAAAAGCCTCTCTCTGTCTCTGTGAGCTGATACGTCGGATCCAGGATTTCTAGTCGCGACAACGGTATTGGATTTGATTGAGGTCTCAGCCTTTGATGTTCGCGAATCCTTTTTCTTGATTACGAGTCGCGCATGTCTGATTACGAGTCTCCGCCATACCCGTACGTTCTTCTCGATCGAGCAATATCCTGACGCAATCACTGCCTTTCCCACTCGACTGTACGTATGTACATACATCCGACCCTATATTCCATCCTTTACAATTTGCAATTATTAATTTTATCATTTAGATTTCTCAGGAGTGACGAAACTTTCGGGAATCTCAAGAATCCCGACTTTCTCGAGAAATCCAAAGTTTTCGAACAATTCCCCGAACCAACCTGAGTCTTTGTTTCCGCACACCTGTGTAATACGAACAATTCTTTTCAACTGATTTTTATACTGTTTTGGAGTGGCTACAAAATTACAATCGGCGATCGTCGAAAAAAAAATTTCAGCCAATTACGCTCCTTCCGGTACGAATTTCGGTCCCATTGTGCGCGATGTAATCCACCAAGAACGTATTAATCGCAGTATCGAAAAACCGTCCGAATAATAAAGCGAAACACACGACTAGAAACGACGACGACGACAAAGAATTATCGGGAAATCGGGGGAAGACCAGAGGCGTTCTAGCAAAAATTCCGCGAAAGCCTTATTGAAATTGTTTAACGCGATCCTGTTAACGATTTTTAACACAGAATTCTAGAGGGTTCCGCGTTTTATTCCCGATACGTTGTCCGATGGAACGTGGAAATTTTCCATCGCACGGTGGAAACATCTGCAGTGAATACGGGAGACCGTCGAACAGAACTAATGTTACCGGGCAATTTGTAACGAGAGGCTGGCTAACGCGCACACGCCCAACGTGCAGAACGTGAGACAGCGAATCCCCCGTGTCAAAGCGCAGATAAATTACTTTGTTTGGCGGCGAAGAACCACAGCCGGAGGCGTGCAGACATCAATATCAACGACTGATGAGTTGCCCCTCGCAGCTTCCTATCGGCGATGGGAAACCATCTTGTCTTGAACCTGCCACTCAGTTCGGAATTACTGAAATCCGTTGAGCAACTTCCAAATGGATCGAGATAAATGTTAGACGCCGGTAAATTAATGTGTTAAGACGCAGCGAAATTAAGCGTTGTTACGAGAACACGTATTTTAATATACTTCAAGTTTTTGAAACTTCTTAGATAGAAAAGATATCATTATGTTTTCCATAATTCCAAAAGATGTAGATTTCTAGTGAATCATAACGATATAAAGCGCGCCATTGCAGAAAATTAAATCTTCGACACGCAGATGTAAAATTTCGGTAGAATAATTTTAAGGCAAACACGAACAAAGAGAGCAGCAAGTTTCCAGCACGAAAGGGCCGGAGGTTAAACTCGCAATTCTCATCTCCGTTGTCACGCTTTTAATCGAGATGATCTTAAATTTTACTGTTCCGACGCAAGAGGCGAATGGGTATCCAGCACGGAATGTACACAGCAGCGACGTTTTGTTTGCTCATACGAAGATTCTCGAACGCTGAGAACCGCAGAAAGTTCGAATTGCATCGTGGAAAATTGCGGTGAAACTCATTTCACGTTATTCAGACGGCGATGCTTGAGTGCACGGGTCGCGTCTCGAAGCGGTTTTCAAGATCGAGTGCGCTGGAACTTGCCGGCTCAACGAGCTTAATCTCTTTCTGATCGACGTGAACATCTGACTGGTATCTTGTAACTTGTTCCAATTACACTTTAGCGCTTTGTCGAAGACTTTGCAAGAGCAAAAAAAGAACAAATAAAAGAAAGAAAAAGCTGAGAAGGATTTTACTTGAATATCTCTTTGTTTCCATGATCCTCTTAAGCGCTTTGAAGATTATTATGTAACGTTAGTTATGAGAACTAATATTAACTGAATTAACACAAATTAACTTAAAAATGTATATATGTGTGTGTGTGTGTGTGTGTGTGTGTGTGTGTGTGTGTGTGTGTGTGTGTGTATCTTCTGTTAAATTGTCGACTGAGTTATAGTCATGACCAATAAAAGATGCGAGGTATGAAGTCTCTAACCTCATTAATAAATTTTTTCACTGGTAATAGAACGCCAAAAAAGCACCGAATATATCTTGGTCGCTCGATATCCTACAACTGTGACCAAAGATTATTACACTGGTGGATTCTTGATGACGACATTTCTCTTCGCGGACTCACCAACGCCAAACCGATTTTCTTGACCCTCGTTTTACCACCACGTTTAATACACGTCTCGTTAATAATACTCGATCATAAAATTTTCATCTTCTTGGAGCATAACCTATCCTTTCGATTCTGAAGCATTACTCTCCTTCCGGCGAATAGAAAATTTACAAGAACTTTTTAAAATTACATTTTTCTCGTGGTTTAAAACGATTCGTTCTCGTTTTCAGATACAATGCTGAAATTCAACCGATTGTTTTTGCAAAGATACAATTTTTCAAACATTGGAAAAACACGCTGTTTGAAATCTTTAATACTGAACTAGAGTTTGGTCGATAGAAAAGGAGTGTTAATATAATCATGTGATTGTCAAGTAATATACGATTGCCTATTCACTTCCTCTCCATGATCTCACCCACTCACCATTTTCCCATTAGTATCGCAAAATATTCAATATCATTTGATCATTATGTAAGACAAATAGCAAAAAGAACTTTGATAAAAACTACAATCACAATACCATATGAGACAATTAAACATAAAATTAGCTATTGTAATATTGAAAAAGTATTAACTAATATTTCCTATGTGGTAATTTAAAAATATTCTACTTAACTATGAATCTAAGCTGGCTATAATATAATTTTTCATTAATTTTGAATATCTGCTATTAAAATTTCAAATATATCACATACAATGCGCTTTGAAATAACAAATGAAATATTAAATATAAATTATAATAAATATTAAAACAACATGATGCACAGAACGTGTTCAAATCTGTGACAGCATCTTTCATCGAAAAAACCTTTATTAACACTAGAACTACAAAAGTGGTCAAAATGACCAATTCACGATTTTTTTTAGGTTTACATAACGAGACGCATTTCTAAAAGTTTAAATAATTTTTCATTAAACATTTAAATGAAATTAATTATTTCGTTATTTCGAAATTAAATATTTTGTTAAATATCTAGATGAAAGCTTGTATTTCTTTTCATATCAAAAAACTTTTTCTATTTCGTTCAATCCAATTTTTTCCATATAAATATTATATTTCATTCATCGGTAGTTCTAGTGTTACAATAAATTGAACGTTACTATACCTTCATGAAAAGTTTTCAACATGGCGTCCTTTTTAAATTTGGCGGCATCCTTTCGTCCTGTCATGACGTCTCCCCGATACTTCGAAATCAATCTTCTAATGTTCTACATAAAAAAAAAAAATCAAAACTTTCAAATAAATGTATAAAAGAAACAAATTATATAGAACAAATTATGCTAGAACACCATTGAAAGTTAAATGCGGTTAAGTTGGTAATACGTAACAACCGAAATGACAATTACTTATAAATCATAATATTTAATAAATTAATAAGTAATAACTCCAATTAAAGAAAGTGAATAATAGCTATGAACGGTGAAAAGATGATGATGAAATTATACAAATTACACAAGAATGGAACAGCGTTGAAGGTTAAGTGTTGAAAGATGATAATACGCAACAATCGAAGTGACGACTAGTAATCAATTATAATGATATTTAGTGAATTACTAAGTAATAACGTACGCTAATTGAAGGAAGATTGATAGTAGCGTGGCTATGAATAGTGAAACAATGGCGATGAAAGTATTGCACTAGTTAATATCACGCAATAATACACTTAAACACCACGATTGTAAACATTAGACTAACCCTCTACGCAACAAGTTCCGTGTCGCTAACCAATTTGTCGCGGCGGGGAGGGGGGGGCCAAGCACGAATAGGATTCGTTTGATGGAAAAGCGAAATATCCAATAAGAACATAAATATCTTCACGCGGTAATTTGATTTGAAATAGAACCGATTGAATTGATGAACGTAGAAAATATGATCCTTTGGAAGAATCGTTATAATTTTAGAACAATTATAATAACCTAGTTGTTAATCTGAATTGTTATAATGTGAAATTCTATATTTGCAACATATTAGTTGCAGCATAATACGAAAATTAAGCATTGTATTTAACCATTAGATTAAGTTTACATTTCATGAATGTAATTATTAATTGTTCTATCTCATAATAGTGTAATGGATTTCGAAATGTGAATTGAACTTCAGAATGACTAGATACATGAAAACGTAGAGATTCAAATTCAAATATATTAAATACAAATACTATTTTTCTTGATTCTCAAATGTGAAAAGTAGATCCAGAAGTAGATAAATTGCACGGTATTTTCAAATGGAATATCTTCTTGGAATAACCCGGTAAAGTAAATGAATTCTACTAAACTAACAAAGCTGAAACCGACATACGATTTCATAAAGTCCTCCAAATTTACCTACAAAATAATTGTAAGTTTAAAATTGAAATATTATATTCGATTCAATTGAAGATTTTGTATAATTATGCGAATGAATTTTGAAGTATGTATTGAAGTTAATTAAACACGTTAATTAACTATTAATGCAGTACGTTTTATTCTTTGGTCATCGGTTGATCCAAACGCATGATGCTTTTGAAATATGAGCAAGGATTTTTTCCCTGGAAGCATTTGAACGTTCGAAACCGGGTTCGCCTGATCCAAAAGAGAAGCAATGCGATCACACGTGTAATAGCGATACTCTCGTCGCGCAAAAGTTTCGCTTTATTTCCAACAGGCGCAACAAATCCTATGTTTTTATACTTAAAGGAATTTCTCTCTCTCTGGATCCTTCTTCAAATATCCTGAGCAATGTGTCACGTTTCTGCGTTTCAAAACCGTTTCCAACGCTCCATAATTCACAATTATCCGCGGCTTTTACCGCGTGTAAATGTAAATTCTACAATCGTGATGAATTGAAATGCACGTTCGAGAGTAACGGTTTAGAGTCCGACGCGCCCGACTGTTTAGAGGAATTATTAAATGGTACATAACGCAGAAAACGTGCGTGGCGAGCAACGCGAATGGCTCGTCGTAATGGCGGGTCAAGCTTTTTCGCGACGCGAAACGAAACGTTGCATTGCGTTGCTAATGACTTCCGCCGGTTTTTCTGTCGGCAGACATTTGTACCGCAAAATGCGATAATCGCTGGCAGCGGCGCTCGAAGAAACGAAAGCGATTAGGAACGCGGAATGGCAAGATTTGCGTGTTAAATGTTCAAATATTTATTGAAAATGTACAGTGAAAATTGTGACGAATGTAAAAATAGTGACGTAGTCGAATAAGGGATCCACGATCAGAATTGAACCTGATATTCCTTTATAACATAATTTAAATTTCTTTTGTTTAGAAAGCCCGTAATAGAACTAAAGAATGATAAATACACGAGGAAGAAACATTGTGAAAGAGTTACTCAGAGGTATCGTCAAAATCCTTCGCAATATAATTGAAAACGCAACAGCACATGCCAGTTTATTTCCTAATTGCCGAGATAGCAATTTAATCGCAGTCGAGCACCGTTGGTGTTAGCTGAATTTCCCTTTGCGGTATTAAACCTGTAAAACTAGATTTCTTCGCAATCCAGTGAAACCGCGAATTAGTAATGCTGCCACTCACGCGTTTCATAATTGTTCTCGTGAAAGCTCAGACATCAGCCGCGCGATCTGAGCGTAATCGTCAACAGTGATAAACGACATAAAAATCGTACAAATCGCCGAGTTCTCTTATCTCGAGGAGACTTTCATTTCACGGCGAAATTGCTGATCTTCGCTTCGTACTTGTCATTTCGTCGAGTGAAAATGAGAATTCTCCCGTTAAAAAAAAAATAAAATTCAACGATGAAAACGCAACATTTATCAGCGATTAAACGGGGAAACGCAGGCGTATCGACGTTCGGTGGATAATCGAGCCTGATAATTCACTCTCAAGCGAATGATTCGAGAGGGGCGTCCTTTAGTTGGCGACAAAACTTAGCGAACTATTTCTCCCGCGGGTGTCGTTGGATTCAGATACGTATTAATACCTGATTAAATCGGCGAAAGCTAATCAGGCACGAATTAGCGTTCGTTGAATCGGCTGGCGCGAATCGATGAAACTACGCGACGCGATGCGGTCTCGCGTTCTCGTAAACGCGACCCGACAATGAACACTGTTCATGGTGATTATCAAAGTGATTAGGTGACGGCTGGCTGCCTCACGTTGGTGCTTCACGGTTCCTCAACGAGGTCACGGCTTTTCGAGTGCAGTTATTGAAATTATCCGGTGCCGGTGCAATTTTCTGCAGTGCAGCGAAACGACGTGCCATGACCCTCTCCCCTGCCTTTCCACCCCAACGCCATCTCATTCTACTCCTCCTCTTTCCATTCAATCCTGTGGTTCCTACGCGTTAAAAGCCGCGATGCTTTGCTCACACTTCGCGAGAACGCCGCTGTTTATTTAATACTCGGCAGCTACTCACATTTCAGTCGCGAGTTTCGTGGCGGATCGAAGACTTATTCTGTTAATGGTGCAAACAGAGACGGCTGGAAAACACACAGCTGAAGTGGCGAAATGGCTCGGTTTCGTGCATAAAATTTAAGGGCGGCTATCGCTACTACTCGTTCGTATATATCGCTTAATTAAAACGAGATCGTTGCGAGCCTCGGTTTTAATCGAACACAGGCGAGAAAGGGTGAAAAAACGACGAAATCGTACGTGGATTTTCTTCTCTGCTTCTTTTTCCGTCCTTTTTCTTCTTTCTTTTTCTTTTAAACTCGGTGGTGCTCAGTTTCCGTAGCGAAACTTATTGATTTTCTGAATTTTCGTTATACCTTAACTTACCCGGGAAAAAGATTTATTTCGTCACTTGGCAAGTGGGTCTCCCTTCATTTTGTACTCGAATTATAACGAGGAACACGTGCAGAATGATCCACAGACATTTAAAGATTTAAAAAAAAATGTTTAAATGGTTTCTCTTCTCTCGTAGAATGTGTTTAATACTAAACTTCCCTTTCTTTTTTAATGAGTTTCTCGATGAAATATGAAGTCTCGTAAAAAGAAGGGTAATAGCCAGCTAGCCGATAAAAAAAATTCTCGAGTTCGTTTTTTTTAACGAACGCGATACGCATTTAGTTGCCATTAACCACGCTCGATCGCTACGTCTAACTTCTATAAAAAAAAAAAATAACAAAAAATACGCTTTCAAGCGCTCGTAAAACGACGGCTCGGGGAGACAAACGAAGATCTCGTTTATTACCGAATTCGTTTTATAAGAGTCGTCCGCTGCCCGTTGTTTTATGTAGGTATAGTCATTCGCCCCCTCTATTGCCGTTTTATGTCGTTTCCCGGAGTGGAACACTGAAACTCCATCCTATTTTTCCTAAATGTCGAATTTCAGCTTCCTCGATTTTTATCCTTCGTAAATTTTTCGACTCTCGAAACTGTAGATTGAATGTACAGAGCGATCGACGTATGTTAACTTGCACACCTGAAACAACTTTTAAATTATAAAATTGTTTACTACAAAAGTTGTTTGGTTTTAAATGAGGCACAATATATTTTCGTGGGTTTCGAAATTTCCAAAGTCATCTTTATTTTCTTTTTCAATTCGACCATCGTATCTTTTTCGTCGTGAATCGAAAAAATTCGCATAATATAACTAACTTCAAGACACGCGAATCAGATACCTGTGTAAGATTCTCCTGTTCTTTGCGAGAGTATCAAACATGCGTCCAAATACTCTCGAAATTTTTCTCTACGATGTTTTTCAAAGTATAATAAATTACTTTAGTAAATCGCTCTGAAATTAAGTTCTCCTCGTGTTCTCGGTTAAACTCACCCCGCAATATAACTAACCAGGTCCGATATCGTTTCACTGAGTAGCAAACTATCCGCTTTTTTCCCCCCCCTCTTACGATTATATTTCCCTTTTACGCGATACACTGGATACGCTATTTAAAGCAACGAAGTGATCAGGTATCCCGAGGAAATTGTGCCGGCTACGTCGAAGAATAAACTGAATGCAAAATGAAGGCAATACCGCGTATTTAACGGGAAGCATCTCGGCGAACGATCAAATTAGTCGAACAGATAATCGTTTAGTTACTCGGAGCGCAACGGTGTTTTGCCGTGCATATGAAACGAGGTAATTTCGTAATGCGATTACACGTGATTGCTCGAAACACCGGGGGATTTCCATATTCCATGAATTTCACTTACCTGTTCCAACCAGGAACTTACTCCATCTTTCATTGTGTTCTTTAGAACCAGCTGAAACCTCGCGTGCTCGCTGTATAACCGCCAATATTTACTTATTACAATTACAACTTCGTTGTAGGTCGATACTTCGTTGTAAGTCATGGATTCCATAAGAATACCTGCAACGACAGCACAGTCGAATTACGATTAATTGTTAATTAGCTTGTTACTCGTAGAGAGACGAATCTGAAAACAGAAATATCGCGCGTAGAATTGCAGTCGTGGAATAAAACGAGCGTGAACGAAAGAATTTCGGATTTATATCGGCGAATACGAGCCTCGGCTGCGTGTTCATGCGTGCGTGCGTTGAGGGGAAAAAAAAGGTACGACATGATAGAAACAAAAATTCGCGAATGTAAAACGAAATTCTCGATTTAAATTTGTACACGGTGAAAATTGGCGATATCGATACAGTAAATTCTTGATTAAGTCCGTTGTTGAACTAGCTGGCAGAACCAATTCGCTTACAAAAAAAAAAAAAAATGAAAGAAAAAACAGAGAAGGGATGAAAAAAAATGTTAAACAAAAGTGGTACGCGATGCGTGTGACAAACTTTTTGGGAGGTTAACGTGTATACCGTGTGGACGAAGGTCCTTTGCTGCTACACGAATATGTTATTTTATACGATTTTCCACTGACAGAATTATGCCATTTTCCACCAATGAGTTTCTCGATT